GCAGGCTGTTATTGATATTTTCATGGCTGCCACTGGGCTGGGGAGTTGGGATTGGACTAGGGTAAGTTAACATGCCACACAGTCCACTGTTCCTACTGAGACTAAGATCATTTTCTTGTCTAAGTGCTCCCTGGGTTCCTGCAAGCCTTTGGTTATTTTCCAGAGTTCCAAATAGTTGATTCTGACAGTTTTTGCCAGTTTCTTCGTTGCTTTTATGGAAGGATGGAATTTTGGAGTTCCTTCCTCCACCATTTTCACTGACATCACCCTCTGCAGTCTCTTTTGATAAAAGAGGAACAAAGAAGGAGACAAATGACTTATTTTTAGAACAGAGATAAACCTGAAAGGAGACTGGGTTATGCCAGGACCATGAAAACCGCTCATGTGTCAGGTATGGGCTAAGTTTTTAAAATACCTTGACTGATTTAATCCTGACAGCAATCCTCTGAGGCAGTTCCCCCTTTTCATGGAATAGAAAACTGAAAACTGAGAGGTTAAGTTATTTTCTCAAGGTTGTATAGTCAATAAGAGGTAGGATCAGGTTTTGATCCCAGGTTTTCTGATCCCAAAGCCTGTGCTTTTAATCACCAGGCTATAATGGTATAGGTTGAACCACCAAATGTCACAGGAACCCATGAGAAGTGTAGGCTTAGCACAGCAAGATCCAAAGAGGTACACAAAGAGGTGACCCTTCTATCACGAGGCATCTCTCCTAGTGCTGGATTCCCCCACAGGTGGACCGAGGTGCATCAATATAGTTATTGTATTTCCATCTTAAGAAAAAACTGGAACTTTGTTGGACTTTCTTATACTTATTTTATACCTTAGATTGATCTGTCTATCTATCTATCTATCTATCTATCTGTCTATCCATCCATTCATCATGTGAGGTGGGATTCAAACCACATTGGGGTCTTTGCTGCTTTTTGAATATCTCCTGTCTTTCAAGGTCTTTGCTATTTCTGTTTTGTTAGTTGTTGGGGCCTTGAAAAGTCTTTATATTGGCTCTGGGATCTGATCAAGGCCAAATGGTGTGGGGTGGATGTCATTCTTTTAACATATTGTAGCAACAATCATACACTGAAACGTGAATCGACATTCACTTTTCTAACAAATATTTATTGAGGGCCTGCTATGGGGCTAGGCACTATGCTGGGTGTGCAAAGATGGATAAGATGTGGACTGTGCCCAAGAGGTTCTGACAATATACCCGAAGTTTGTGTATGTGAGTGGAATGAGAGGAGAATGAAGGTAAGGGATGGTTTTATGGAGAAGGTAGCACATGAGCGAGGCCATGGATGGACTTGGATGGGTAGAGATGGCAGGGATCGATGAACCTGCTTAACATGTAAGATCTAAGAAATTGGTGGCATCAAGGTCCATTTTTCAGTAGCATTAACAGCAATGGGGTAATTACACTTCTCAGAATTGAATACTCCAACTTACCTGGAGCCCAAGTTGGAGCCAGCTGTTGTAGGGAGAGTTTTGTTGGAGGCATCTACCTAAGTCTTCTCCTCATCCCCTCTCTTTTCCTGCTGGTTGTCACAAAAGGGAGCTCAAAAATCTCACCCCTGGGTACAATTTTCCTTAAGGATGTTTCACTGAAAGAATTAAAGCCACTAATTTAAGAACCAAAAGAAACTGCTCAAATACCAGGTTTTTGCTTCTTATAAAGATGATCATTTTCCCTTGTTTTTTCTTTCATTCTTTATATAACAATGCTACTTTTAGAAAGATTCAAAACGTTAAATACTTCTCAGCATGAGAAGTATTAGCTAGGAATCAAATTGTAAGAGAGAAGCATGGTCATCTCTGTATCAGACCAAAAAAAAAAAAAAAGAATCTGTGACTTAAGCTTTTTTGTTTTGCCACCTTGTGGCACTGTGACCAAATTGCAGGAAAAATAACAGAAAAAGGGGGGAGATTCCATCTGTGTCTTGAGGGTTAATGATTTACATCCAGAATCATAAAATGATGACAAACATCGTTTCAAGGACAGTCACGACCCCTGCCTCCCAACAGTACCCGAAATGACCCAACTCCAGACACACCCACACCGTTTGCCAGAAGGTGGGTACTGCCCATTGCTCTGTTCCCTTCCAGGGAGGTTCTCCACGTGGCCCTTCTCTTCCTCCGGGTCATCAGTGCCTGTGCAGATGGCAAGATCCGCATTTACAATTTCCTAAATGGGAACTGTCTGAAGGTGATGAAAGCCAATGGCAGAGGTTATCCTGTGCTGTCCTTCTTTATTCAGGGCAACAGGTGGGTGGTAGGTGTGGAGGTCAGAGCTCTGGGCATTTCTGTTTGGATGATTTTTTTTCCTCCTATGGGACACTGGCCCCGGATTTGCTGGCAGCAGGAGAGAGTGGGCCATGCTCCCCTCCAGTCTTGGCTGCAGTAATAGGCTCATGGGGGACTCACGGGACTTCACGCAGAACGTAGCAATCAGGGACCACACTACTCTTCATTCGTTCTGGGTGTCTGATCCAATTATGCGATGGGCTTGATACAGCTCTGCCGTGGGGACTGAGGTTCTGCCAGCCTGCAGCCCCTGATCCCACGTCCAGCCTGAGAGCTTCCCAGCTCTCTGTGTCTCACTTCTGATGCAGAGAGACTTGCAGGAGGGCGGGAGTGGCATTGGCAGGCGGCCCAGTGTCCAGTGGGGCAGAACTGAGCAGATGAGTTTACAGAAAGCAGAACCATGACGACACTAATTGTATATAATACTGTGTTGTTAGATGCTAGGTTCAGGGTGATATTATGTGAAAATACCCAACTAGACTTAACTTTTAAATTCTGCCACAGCCTCACTCAAGGCATCACTTAATCGCTTCGAACCACATTGTCTTCCTCCTAATGATTAGTCCTCCTTGCTGAAAGCAGGGGGGTGCTAGTATACTAAGGCTCAGTAATTGAATGGTTTTCAGTTACGAAGTCAGAAGGCTATAAAAAAAGGTCACCTTTGACCTTTTCTTAATCATGACATCTGAAGAGAGATGTCAGCTTGAGCAAAAATATGTCTGAAAGAGATTTCTAATTGGAATGATTCCCCAAGTTCCATTCCAGTGCTTCCAACCGTAACGAGTCACTTTTATGGAGAGTTTACGCTGACAGTGACAGCCTTAAAATTGCAGCCTTTTGGCGCAGAAAGGAGCCCACACATAGCATTTCCATTTCTTGTTTATGGTTATGGGGGACCTAGGAGCAGAGGTGGGGGAGGGAAAGCAATGCCTTGTAACCGCTGTGAACCCCAGGAACAGTGGGTGGGTAGGAGGCGATGTTGGGGACCCCGGGTTTAGAACTCTTCTTTTCTCTAGTGGCATGAGAGTGGGGATTAGGGAAGACAGAAATCCTCCTGCTTTACAAAGTACAAATGTTCTGTCTGAACGTAGAGCGTGCACAGACACTCAGAGCGATGGCTTGAAGTGGGTGGGGCTGGAGGGTCAGCGAGGGCTTGAAGGCCTCCCCCACTAGAGTTTTCCTCATCCCATCACGGCAGTAGAGCCATGGCATTTGGATGCTGTGCTTAAGAAAAAAGGAGTGAACTTGAAGACATCTGTGTGCAGAGTAGCTAAGCCTTCTGACTCGGGCATCCCGGGTTCTTGGCACTCACTCCAGGAACGGAAATTCATTTAAAAATATTGTAATCCGAGAAGCGAAGTAATCAGGACATGTGTGCCTTGTTCACATCTAATTTCTAAAGAAAACGGCTACAGAGCTAACGACCCCTGCTGCACGGCCTGCCACCTTTCTCCGCCCGTAGACCCTGCAACAACCTACACCACCCTGTCTGTGCGGTCATTTCCCGGGCACTCATCCCTTGGCCTCAGGATCGGATGGGACAGTAGTCCAAATGCATATTTGGAAGCGGGGCAGTGGCAGCCTCCACACTCCTTTCGTGGGCAACCCTGTTGCTTTGGTTCCAGGATGGTGATCAACACGGAGAGCAACGTCCTCATGTTCCAGTTTGAGAATATCAAGTGGCAGAACTCCCTGGAACGGGCCAAACAAAAGAGGAAGGACAAAGAGGATGACAGGGAAGAAAACAGCCTCACAGAAGTTCTCTCCAAGTCGAGCACTCAGATTTACAGCCCTCAGGAATCCATATCTAGCAAACACACGGCCCAGGAGTCCCTGTTCAGCAAATCTCACAGGTCCCCAGTTCTCCTGAGGGCATCCAGGTTACCTACAGGTAAGAACTGAATCCCAGGCAGCCCCGGTGGTACCCAGTGGAGCAGGTGAGGGGCTTCCAGGACCAGTTTCTCTCTGGAATATGTTGGTCAATGGTTTCTTGATGATATAAATCCCAACCTTTATGTCATTCTCTTTGATGTGACAGTTTGTTAGCCAGCTCAAGGGAATCTCATGATTTTCAAGGCCTAAGTTTTCAAACTTATTAGAATCTTTCTGCAGTAGATGACACTAGCCCTTCATACTTGCCATTGAAACAAAATCCAGACAACCAGCATCCTCCCCCTTGCCCCTGATCCAAGCATATAGTACATGATTATTTCCTTAGGACACAGACAAGATATATTGTACTGCAGAAAAATGTCCTCTGCGGAATGTATTCTCTGTACACCTCTGACTGATAACATGCGTACCTGGAAAATACTAGATCAATAGATCACCTCCAAGAGTATTACACCACAAACGGTCAGTTAGGACAGAGGACCGAGAATTTCAGATAATGCTTAAAGCTTGATAATCAGTAGGAAACGGGGGTAGGAGGGGGGCGTCAGGAGGTGATCTAGATGGACCTTTGGCTCCAGGTGATTGCCTAGTTTCATGGGACAACAGGAAGCAACAAAGAGTGAAGTGATAATTTGGGTGAAAATCAGTTGAATTATCAGCTACGCCCCCAGCTGATACCTAATTGAATCATATAATTACTACGGTTTCCTCCTCAATCTTAATTTAGGAGTGTTAACGGAGGCACCTCTAAGTCAAGGAACGCCAAAGTCACCCCGAAGAGATGGCAGGAAGAGACCGAGTTCTAGGGAAGCAAATGGCACGGGCACCGAGCAAGAGAATTTGGCAAAACCCCTCGCCGGAGATAAGAAGAACGGTGATCTTTTATTCTGAATTCACGTGGCAAGATTCAATCTCTCTCTCTCTCTCTCTCTCTCTCTCTCTCTCTTTCTTTGTTCAGTCTGATTTTTCAGCAGGTTGATCAATCAGTTTGCTTGGATTCTGAATGGATAAAATGCCCAGCTTCTCCTAAGAGTGGTGGGTTTTCCCTAACCGTCCCCTTTCTGACTTGAGGCCACCAAGAGCGAGCGCTTTTCTCAGAGCTGAGCCTCTGGTTTGGGGCTCACAGTCAGCCTCCTCACTTCTTGGACTGTGGTGTCATCAATCTGAGTAATGGGCACAGCGGAAGAGAGAAGAGGCAGTGGGGCTGATTGCAGAGGCATTTTAGGGGGGTTCACGGGGGAGGAGCTGGATTGGGGGGTGCTCTACATATGAGATAAGGGGGTCAGGGAGATAGGCGGGGAGGGGCTTTGGAGAAGCGTTACCATGAATCGGGTGTCCCTTTGTTGTTTTTGAGAGACTCTGGTAAAGATTTAAAATGCCTTTCAAATATTTTTGGCTAATATAATAATGTTTCTTTGAATTAAACTCCCTGCAGAGACTAGCTTCAAGGTGAGGGTAAAACAATTGAGTTTTGTGAGGTCTGTAATAACAATGGGCATCCTTGCATATACCTGTGTCTGTGTACCTGTATAGGTATACCTGCGGGGTAAAGTCCTAGGCGTGGCATCGCTGAGCCACAAGGATGATTGCATTTTAAAAGCTAGAAGGAGATTGCCACAGTTGTCTTTAAAAACTGCTGTGTCACTTTTCACTCCCACCAGCAATGCATGAGAGCTCCCACTGCTCCCAAGCCAACACTGGGTGTTCACCATCATTTTGCTCATGTGATAAGTAAAGATGATATTTGCATTTCTTTAAGGTTGATCACTCACACACTAAATGTCCCTCAGTGGGCGGTAACTAAGTAGGTGATGACAAAGCCATACTATGACAAAGGCATATTATACAACAGCTAAAAATGGATGAGGAGCCCCATTTTTTTTTTTTTTTTTTTTTTTTGTGGTACGCGGGCCCCTCACTGTTGTGGCCTCTCCCGTTGTGGAGCACAGGCTCCGGACGCGCAGGCTCAGCGGCCATGGCTCACGGGCCCAGCTGCTCCGCGGCACATGGGATCCTCCCAGACCGGGACACGAACCCGTGTCCCCTGCATTGGCAGGCAGACTCTCAACCACTGCGCCACCAGGGAAGCCCATGGAGCCCCATTTTTGACTTGGAAAGAGATCCATAATATATTATTATATGAGAAAACGACAAGTTACTGAACAATGAGCCCATCACAATTCCTTTTAATAGAAGGAGAAAAACTGTGTTTTGTCTCTCTCACACACACACAGACACCCCCCCCCCCCCCCCACACACACACACAGAGTGGTGTATTCTGGAATTGGACGAAGCACAGGGAAGACTTTGACCTCTTAATTTCATTTAGATAAGACCTACTTGGTCAAGGAAAATTATACACTGTTATAAAATTGTAAAATCAATACCCTGTTGCATTTTCTTTGCTAGTTTTATTGGTGCAGTTTGAGGTGCAGATTTTACTTGCTAGGTCAGACTAGACAAATGCCTTCTCCTTTTCATGGTTCAGTTATTCCTTTTGTAAAAGGAGGATAATGTTTTCAGTGTGTCTGTGAGGTATTGCAGGGATTCAAAAGCCCAAATGAGAGACATAGTAAATTTGCTCACCTATGAGGACATCGTTGCTAACTCAAGGGCCTTAGGCATCTTGGAGGCCTTGACCCTAAAGTAGCATGCCAGAATGAATCTCTTGTCCTTGTCGGTGGCTTTTGGACCTACAAAATGTTCAAAACATTTTGGGAACCCCTGTTCAGGAACTGCCTTTTGGCCATTTGATAGTTTCAGTTTTGCAGGGGTGACATGTTTTTTGAAGGCAGTTTTGATTTTGAGAAACATCCAAAGATCATTTGGAGTCAAATTTGATGAATAAAGTGGAAATCAAGCTTTGCCATCCAGGTTTTATTTAAAAATATAGGTATGTTACTGAAACTCTGTAAGGCCTATAAATGGGGTGTGAAGGTCCTTCCCACAGGGAAGTTTCAGGAATGTGTGGAGCACAGGCATTACATATGTTCCTTCCAAAATATGCGTATCTAGAGGTTAATACACACTTGTACACAAGTACTAGCATATTTGTTAAAAACGTGTGTTAAATATTTTGTAATTTCTCGTCTCATAGAGGATTTTTGCTCACATGATGGCAGCATGTCCACTGGGTAACAAAGACCGTAGTCTGAATAGCAGCTGGAATGGATTTAACTTTCATACGTAAGTACTTAATGGTTTTCATGGGACACTGGTCTGTTTTTCTTTTCTTTTTTTTAAAAAGCAGATGATGTGGAGAAAATACCAAAACAAGGACGACTGGGAACTTTGGGAGACTTGATCAATTGCTCAAAGAAGTCCTGGTGCATCCCTATGTCCCCTGACCAGTTCCTCCTGACTGTGAATGCCCTGCAGAAAGCCCATAATTCTGGGGAGTTTGCCTATCCCCGGAGGCCCCAAACCCAGGTCATTGATGCCTGGGGACCTTCCATTTCATTCCCAAGGAAGGTCCTGAGTTTGAAGGGACGATCGGTCCAACATGCAGTCGATCGGTTGAGATTGAGCAACCCTCCCGTAGACGTGAAACAAACGAGTATTCCCTTTGAAATCCAGAACCTTCAGCCTAACTTGAAGAACTCCGTGCACAGCCCCAGAGCCCAGTCTACCATCCCCCAGCCAGTGCTTATCCGCCCCAGGTTCTCTGGCAGCTTAAAGGGTGAAGACCCGCCAACCAGTTCAACTGATGGGGCAGTGAGCAGCTTCAGCCCCTTAACCAGCACACAGGTCATCCAACCAAACCACATGCTGGCTCCGCCAATGGGCACGACGGCCCAGCCTGCGAGGAAAGATTGGCCCCGCTCCTACACGCCCCTCGACCCCTTCAGAGTGAACACGGAGTTCATGCTGCTGACTGTGAAGGAGGAGAAAGAGTACGAGGAGGCCAAGATGAAGGAGTTTCAGGCCATAAAGCCGGCTGGAGGGGTCGATCCGGAAAAAGCCAGCAGAGCTGCCTGGGTCAGGAAGATCAAAGGCCTGCCCATTGATAGTTTCATGAAGCAAGGAAAAACAGCAGCCCCTGAACTTGGGCAAAACGTATATATCTGAACCAGCCTTGGGAAATTACAGAGTCTTATAATAAACAAAAAAACCAAGTGGATGTTGGTGTTCGGCCTCTTTTTGTTTGTTTGTTTGTTTTCAACTGTTCCCTGGCAATTAACATGGGGACTCTTGAATTATTTTCCTATAAGCCAAAGAACTCATACTTATCAAAGTAAGAAAAGAGAGAGAGGCTGGGGGTGATTGGCATCTGTAGTCCCACTGAAAACCATTCAGTGAGAGGCGTGGAAGCCCTGTTTCATTCATGGGAGGTGTTGGAAGTTTAATACCACTCATGGCTACCAATTTAGGGCTATCGTTTCTTCTAGCAAATGAACTGATGGGATTATATCAGAATAATGCACTGGAGTTCCCTGGTGTTTTCGTATGGAAGCCTGATGAAGTTCAATGAGTTCAATTAAGAATCTAAAAGGAGAAGCCCTCAAATTGCATTTTTCCTCCTCAGGGCTAACTCCTATGGAAGAGAATTAGGCACATTCATCCTTTCTACATTAATATCATGTGTGTTGAGGTTGCTACTTAAGCCTGCTGAGGTTGGTGTCAGGGGCCAGGCAGGTGATTTAGATGTGGGCAGCCCAGCATAGGGGCTGTGGCCCATCAAAGAGCTCAAGCCCCATGTGAAGGGCGTAGCTCCTACTCAGTATCTCAGCATGGCGTAGGATGGAAACCATTGAAGCAGAATGCAGAACAAAACCACAAAACACCAACCCCACAAAACTCCGCAACCCACACACTGAGTGGGCCACCAAAACCCTGGCATGGGTAGGCTAGATGCACAGGCCACCTGTTCCCAGCCTCCGCTTTCACCTCCAGGTGCAGGAATACCATCATTTGCCAAGCTTTCTCTCCCTGGAGAATTTTTTCTCCATTCTTAGGAAATCAGGTTTAAAGTAGCACTGGCAAATAGCCATGTAAAAATTGTGATTTGAATGGAAAGAATCCCTTCAATTAAGGAAACGTGCTCCTACACATTATTCCATGAGCCTTCCAACAACAGTTTGACAGCAGGCTGGGCAGATAGGATATTGTTATAATCACAGTTTCAAAGATGACATAAAGCCCCTGAATTTCAGCTCCTTCAAGGGGCAAGATCACAATATTTGTGGCTAAACTTAAAACCGTGATAAGAATAACATCTATTGAGTAGGTATGGAGCCTGGAAGGGAAGGACACATAGAGGTTAGCTAGATAATTGGTTAAGTAGAGTAGACGGGCTCAAACCCAGGGGGCTCAGACTCCGGGGCCCACGCTCTCAGCCTCTCTCCTTACTGTTTCCCAGGTCTATCTTCCTCCCTTAATAAGACCCGCCATGTTTAGGGTCCTCCTGCCTCGTTCTTCTTAATAACATTTACCCCTTCGCAGGAAGACATTTATTTCTTCAACTGCTTCCACTATTTAAGGTACAAAAGTAATCCTGTACGGAATTACACGTCATCGTAAAACACTCAAACGAAATGAAAACTATGGAATAATCATGCCCCTGACCCCCACCCCTGCCCTCAGGACATCCACACTAGCGGAATGACACTCTGTAGGCGGCAGCAACATCTCCAGCCAACAAACCATGAAGTCCCTAAAGCAGCATCCTTTACTTTCCTCTCCTGCTTGGACCGGCCCATGCCCCAGCCCGAGTCCTTGGCTTCTCGCCTCGCCCCGCCCCGCCC